GATAAATAGATAAATAGATAAATAGACAAACCACACCCTCATAAGCTTATCTGTTAATCGTTACGCATTTCGAGACTTTGGTTTGTGTATGTATGTGTGTGTGTGTGAGAGTGTGTGAGAAAAAGAGAGCCCTCTGCAAACCTATCTATCCCCTTTGCATACGTACGTACCTACCGATGCAGAAAGGAGGAGGGGGAAGACTTACTTACTTACTTACTTGCTTACTTATATACTACCATTTAACAAGTTGTAATAGTAATAATAGTAATAGTAATAGCAATAGCAATAGCAATAGCAATAGCAATAGCAATAGCAATAGCAATAGCAATAGTAGCAAGAATAATAATAATAATAACAGTAGTACTACTACTACCACCAGCAGCAACAACCCAACCCAACCCACCCTCTACTCCGCACGAAAGAACAAGCTTCAATCGATGTCCATCCACTTCAGCCTCATCTTCTTCCGCACGCACGCACGTACCGCTCAGCCCAGCTTAGCCTAGCCTTTTCACAACTAAAAGTAGGTACTCACTTACCTTACCTTGGGCAAGAGCTTGCGTACCTACCTACCTACTTACTTACCTACCTAAGGTACCAGGTACCTACATACCTGCCTTTGTAAGTGCTTTACTTTATATTGTGTTGATATTATATTATATTATATCATATCATAGGCCAGCCAGGCCAGGCCAGCAAGGCCCAGCAGGACGAAAGTCTGGTATCGGCTATCTACTTTATTGTATTGTACTCTACTCTACTCTACTCTACTTTACTCTCTTGCATCTACCTTACCCCCTTATACACTTACTCACCTCCTCACTCACTCACTCACTCACTCACTCACTCACTCACTCACTCAAGCCCCTTTATCTACTCACCCACCACCCAAAGCGAAAACAGCATCCAACTCCAATTCCAACTCCAACTCCAACTCCAGCTCCCCCTTGAAAGTAATCCATCCATCCACCCACCTACCCACCTACCCGTAAAACCAATCACAGCTTCCTCACAGCCTCCTCACAGCATGCGACATCAACCAAGCAACCAACCTTACCATCTTAGCTATCGTCGTCGCCGTTCGGCCTTAGGTTTTTGTTTTTTTTCTGTAAGTGGGATATATATGTCGATAGATAGATAGATAGAGAGATATATACATACATACATACATACATATATACATACATACATACATATATACACACAAATACACACATATATATATATATATATATATATACAAATACATACCTCTTAAGTCTAGCTCCGTTTACAATCATGGTTAAAGTACAGTACGGTATAGTACAGGACAGGACAGGAGATAGTTACATCCTCATCCTCATCCTCTTCATCTTCCTCGTCAAGAGAGAGAGAGAGAGAGAGAGAGAGAGTTAACCACCCAACCCTGCTTAACACCCTCCTTCTTTCCCTCCATCCCTCCTCCTCCCTACCTCCCTACGCTCTACGTTCTAGACTATACACACACACACACACACACACACACA